CCCATTAGCATTAGGACGCCAGTGTAAATGTCACTGCTCTGCGTGGCTAAGTAACAGCAGTGATCTAGACAGACAGGGACAGCCATTGACTCAGCAACATGAAAGGCCCATATATAAGCAATTAATTCCTTCAAGCTTCACTAGTTACTGCCAGCTTGGATCATATGCCGGTTACTGCTGCGCTGCTCACGTACTGTACTAGTTATGCTGCTGCTGCTGCTTGCTCTCCTCTCTTTTTCTTTGGAATAAAGGCAAGGACCAAGGCCTTGTATCGACTCGTGTTAAAATGTAAATGTCAAGTGTTGGGAATTTCCTTATCTCATGAGTAACGTTAGCTTTTTCACTCTTTCTTTAGATCTAAATTTCAACATTGTCTTCCTCGAGCTGCCAAGTGCTAGTAAAGACAACGAACTTGCTTAGCCTGACAGTAACTAAAAGGATTCATATATTATCCGTAAGAAAAAGTAATCATTATGTATTGGGCATGGGAGGGTGGAACCCAAGGTACCAGCTTGACCTTTATAAATGGTTCAAAATCTTGGTCAGTCACTCCAGAGTTGTAAGAAGTAAAACTGTCACCTTAATGGCCTTAAATTGAAAGCCAGAGTTATTGAAAGCCTCTGACACTTAAAATTGTCCAGCCCTTGGAAAGCTCTCAGGACCCACCCAAGCCATCTAGCAGAGGGGCTGAATCATATCAACGCTTTTTTGTTGTAGAAAGGAGTAATTTGCTTCACATAGGAGAGCCCAACACATTAATGCTGGTTTTCCTAGTATCTTCCTTAGCATGCAAGTCTCTCTTCCACAAACACTCAGGAAGAAATTAATCCCAGGACAGGAACTGAGGTGTGTCCCCGTGTGTTAGGGGCTCGATTGCCTACACACTATTGTGATCCCACAGAACAGGGACCTACCTGGTTGCACTTGGACAAAGGCTATCTAAGAAGGACAAAGCCAACAGGCCATACTTTGTGTAACAGAGACGACAGGCAGGATGCACTTTCACTCGTTTCCTCACCCCGCTGCCTACTGCTATAAACCTCTTCTTTTCAAGTGTAAACCACACCAAGATGGCAGAGGACTGCAAGAGGAGAATGGCAAGCCTAGGCAGCAAAGATCTACCATTGTGTCAACAAACCAGCTCTGAAATGCCCTTGATCAGCATGTCCCACTGCAAACAGCCTGTCCTATCTGCCACAACACAACTGATGGCCACGCGGTTGCTCGGGGTCAACTCCAGCCTCATCTCCTGAGGGTCATGAGAGGTGTTTGGGTCAGCAAATGCTGCCTGAGAGGACACTGTTCTGCACTTAGTGGAGGCAGCCTGGGCAACCTTTCGATTTCCCACTTGCCTCAGAGAACTGGGGGAAGGGGCTAGTCCCACGGCTGAGGGCTTTAACCCAACAATGAGGAGATATGGATGGGGTTCTCAGCCTTTAGCCCATGACTTGGACTTGTATTCAGATCACACACTGCTGGTACTTAAAATGCTGGTCTGACCTCTTCCCATTCACTGCTTGCAGCATCCCCAGCTTCCAGCCCTTCAAAGGGCACAACAGTACAATACTCCTGCCCATTAGCAGGCTTTTCTGAGACCAGGGATAGCACAGAAACCCCAACAGAAGCCAGAGGTGCATCTGAGAAGGGCAGATCAGGCAGTGAAATTAGGGGAGATAAAGTGCAGTATTTCTCTGAAAAATTCGCTTTTGCAGAAAAAAATTCAACAACTGGAGAGTCCTTCAAGAGCTCCAGCAAGGTCTTCAGCTCAGGGCATAACAGAATTGATTGTAGGCTGTAATGAAATAATACAGAGTTTAAAAGGACCTTCCTGAAATTTCAAGCTTGCAGTGGAAAACTCTCAGTGGTGCTGTAATCCAGTAATTCTCTGCTACCAGTACGGATATCACTCCTACTGAAGAGAGGAAAGAAAACAGAACTGCCATGAAGTTTATCTTGCAAGACCGACGTTTGACTAGACTCCATTTAACCAGATGTTGTCAAACACAATTCCCAGTGCTCTGCTGATGCCGCTGAGGATCCTAGTCAGGAGAACAGCCACCAGAGAATGTGGAGAGTAACTTTCTCATTTTCAAATCTGTAAACCTAGTAAGATCAGGAAAGTTGGGGTAATTGATCACCAAATTCTGGGGAGGAACTACATACAAAAGCAAGTTAACACCTTAACATGTATTTTTCTTCGTTGTCCTTCTTTCTGTGTAATACTTTTCGCTAAGTAGAAATATTAAGCAGTGAAGAAGACTCAGCTTAGGTAACTCAGCACAACTCCAGCAGATTTCTGGTAGAGCAGCTTTGGTTTATCCCTTTTTACTGAGGCTCTGACTTCTAGTACTTTGCTAAGCATCAGCAGACGAACACAGAATAGGTGGCTGCCTGTTGCTTAACATGGAAGGGCTTGGACTCTCGCTGAAGGTTATTTGCCTGCAGTATCCTCAATGGTCCAATTGCATTAGCTTTGCCTTTATGAAAATTTCCTTTGAAAAGTGAGTCACTAACCCAGGTGGGATATTCTTTTGAAATATAGATGAAAGACACATTGAATGCAATTCTCTAGATAGTAATAGTTCTTGGAAAACTCCACCTCTTACCTCCTCCTACCCTTGTTTATTCTTTTCCTAAGAAAACTCACTCATCAAATCAGACTGAGCTGAGATTTCTTTTTAACTGGTTTAGTAGTACAGTATTTTTTACAAGTTTTCTAGCAGGAAAAAAACCCATAGATATTTGCTGAAGAAAAGGAATATCAAGAAAAGTAGCTAGTGCTGAAGTTTCTGTTCCTAAGTAGGTTAAGAGATTGACAGACTACTTCCTTCTCAACAATTCATTATTTCAGGGCTTATTGTTTTGTTGTTGCTATTTTAAGAAGGATTGTCAGAACCTGCCTGCAAGCATCAAGAGTAAGTCTTCTCTCTAGTATTATATCCCAATAATTGAATTTTAACAACCTGTGGAGGCCTGAGGGAGCTGGGTGAAAAGAGCAACACAGACTGTTAAATATTTCTGTGAAGTCCCAGCAGCTCAAGCAACAGCCCCGTTCCTGCAACTCCGTAACATGGGGATACCCCACATTGTACTTGCTACTTCGATCATGAAGTCTTAAGAAAGGGAAACCTCAGGAGATTCTGGGTGGCTCCCTTAACAGGAAGGAAAACGAAAGGCAAAGACATGCCAGAGAGGATTTACCAGTGGTGTTCGGGGGATTGCCGCCCCCTCTGACACTCACAACTGCAGTCTGCACTCCCTACGGGACAGGGAGGTTGGCCACAGAGTGGGGTCACCGTCACCCACACGGCACTCATGCTCAAACCTAGCACCCCACTTTTGGCACCAAACAACATGGGCATGGGCTCCTGAATGACAGCCGTCTGTGGGAAAGCAGAGTGCCTGAAAAAAGCAGAGATAACAAACCTTTCACCTACTTCTCACACAATCAATACACAGGCAAATGATGTTTTGTGATGTTAACTCTGGCACTGGCAGCACTCTGGGACCCAAATCAAGACCAACAAGGTCCAAATTCCAGCGGAACTGAGCAGCCCCATGAGATAACCGAGGGTCAGAGTCCATCAGGCTTATTCCCATCAGGCCGTCCCACCCAAACGAAAGCCCACTCGCAGCAGAAGAGCCTGCGTGACCGCTCTCCGGAGGGCCAAGCGCCTGCGTGTCACCCCCAGCTATCTTATCAGGTGCTTTTTGAAGAGAAGCCCAGCAAACACTGTGTGATCTGATATGGCAGGGGGCAAGGGACCCGTCTAGGAAGTCGTCAGGACAGCAAGGGCAAACCTGACAATTTCGGGAATGGAGAAAGATTCCCATGTGGCTTGCAGGGAGGTGAAGGACAGAAAGCAGTCCATTTCAGGCTGCTGTGAGTCTCTCCTGCTGTTCTAATGGCAGTCAAGCTGCCAAAAGTAGGCAGAGCGACTTATACAAGAACTTCCCGCTGCTATTAGATATTTTCTGCTGCCTAGTTTAGCATATCCTTCCCCGAGGTTTCTACAGCCGTGGATCTTGCAGGATTGAAGGACAGACACCCCAAGTTGCTGTATAAATACAGCACTGCTTAACAAGGCTGCAATGTCCTTTCTTGTATTGGTAACAACCTTTACAAATTCATTTTTCAGACAAAATCTGTACTGAAGCACTGGTGTGATCTGTTTACTCTTGGCTTGCTCAGGATAGTGCAGTGCAGCCTCGTGGAGCGTTAATTTCCTCATCACATTTTTAATGCCTAGCAGGCCTAATCAAAATGCCCTAGGGAAAAAAAAAAAAAGGCAAAAAGCACCTTATCAGCAGTCCCAGGGAGAAAACTGGCTCAGCGCAGTGCAGAACGTCTTCCCCAGAGGAAACCAGCAGCAAAACCAGGAGTGGAGCAAACCCTTCCCAGCTGTACCCCAGAGCCAGACACGTCTGCCTGCCAGCGGCACGCCAAGATGCCCTCCCACAGCCCACCTGTTTGCTCCTCTCACGAATGTCCCTCCTCTTATTCACGGTCTCCTCCACATATTCACATACTTTTTTTCAGGAAACCACCACCAGTCCCCTATAACCTTCCCATTTGACTCTTCCAGGCTTACTTCTGCTGCAGCATCTCCACACAATTAGCCAATTATGACAGCTAATTAATCATCAAACCCCAAAAGGCTAACCTCCCGCCCTCTTCGCTGCCTCATGCTGAGCATTAGCCCTCGCTGAGCAAGCAGCATACGTGGGTGGAGATCCGATGCTTCCCCTGGTCCCACTCCCTGTTCCCTTCCACCCCTCGTAAAGGCAGGACTTCACCCAGTAACCTTGGTATGGTCAAGCAGGGTGGTTCTGCTGTAGGGCTTCCCAAATGAGGTCCCATGTGCAGTATCCCAGGCAGCCTCCCAAGGAGATTCCTCTTCCTTCTGCATTGTCCCCAGCTCAGGACATGGGGACAAACAAGAACTGTCCTCTCAAACCACTGGTACAGCATGACAGGGATTAGGACACCAGAGGCTCACCAGGTTCTTCAGTCCTTCCTTAGAGCTAAGCAACCAACTAAAGGAACCACCCACATCTGACTAAAAACTATCTTCCAGAGCCTGGGAGGAAGCTGGAATAAGGATTGAGGGATAAAATAAAGTTCACTCTTTTCATCCTTAGCCCACAACTAAGCCCACCTGGTTCTGAACTGGGCGCTCACAGGACGTGAACCCCCCAAACTTGCACTCGCCGCTCCCCACGCTGAAGCACAAGCTCTCAGCATTTCAGCATTACTAGAGGAGCCAGATAGGCGATTTCATCCAGATGCTCTCCAGGTCATGCAGTTTCCTAATGAAACTCCATGAAAACATCCAGTCTTTTTTCAGTTTCTGGGCTCCACAACATGTCTCCATGATTTAAGTCTTCACTCAAACTAGTGACTTCACACAGACAGTTTACTTGGTCATGGTTAGCCAGTTATCACTGCAGCATCTCCAGCTGGCCCATGTCTAGTTTTAAAGTAGGCCCTCTTTCTCCTCTCCTCTCCTCTCCTGCGGGAGAGCTGCATGGAAATTCACAGCTTGCTCTTCAGCCCCAGATTGTTCCCCTGCCTTTCTCCTAACAGCCCTGGAAACTAAGGATAACTTCTATTTGAAACCATTTATGCAATGGCTGCTAGAGCTCACCACCAAACAAAGTGGTGTCACAGGCAGGGAACATCATCTCCACTTAATGGAGGCAAAA